TTCGCTCGATTACGTCACACGACAGCGTTGGTTTGTACAGGAACTGATCCCAGGAAACCGTAGGTCAATATTAGGTGTCCTGAAGAGTAACGCAGATATACAGTCAGATGGTATAAGTGCATCATAAAATCGACGCGACGAAATAAATAATATGATAGAGCTCCTTTAATAGTTCAGGTGGAGGTAGAAGGGGGGGTTAGATTGTACCGGGAACTGATCCAAGACTGTGAAGGATTATATACAAGCATGAAGAACGTGAGAACTTGTTTTGATGTCCATTTATCTATTCTTCTTCTTGACTCATGAATATGAACTTTCTGTAGTTCTGACGTTATAGAACCTACACTTAGCTCTGACGTTATAGAACCTACACTTAGCTCTGACGTTATAGAACCTACACTTAGTTCTGACGTTATAGAACCTACACTTACCTCTGACGTTATAGAACCTACACTTAGCTCTGACGTTATAGAACCTACACTTAGTTCTGACGTTATAGAACCTACACTTAGCTCTGACATTATAGAACCTACACTTAGTTCTGACGTTATAGAACCTACACTTAGCTCTGACGTTATAGAACTTTCTGTAGTTCTGACGTTATAGAACCTACACTTAGTTCTGACGTTATAGAACTTACACTTAGTTCTGACGTTATAGAACCTACACTTAGTTCTGACGTTATAGAACTTACACTTAGTTCTGACGTTATAGAACCTACACTTAGTTCTGACGTTATAGAACTTACACTTAGTTCTGACGTTATAGAACCTACACTTGGTTCTGACGTTATAGAAACCTACATAGTTCTGACATTATAGAACCTACACTTAGAACCTACACTTACTGACATTATGGAACCTACACTTAGTTCTGACGTTATAGAACCCCTACACTTAGTTCTGACGTTATAGAACCTACACATAGTTCTGACGTTATAGAACTTACACTTAGTTCTGACGTTATAGAACTACACTATTCGACGTTATAAAACCTGTTCTGACGTGCCGACCTACATATACATTATAGAACCTACACTTAGTTCTGACATTATAGAACCTAGTTCTGACATTATAGAACCTACACTTAGTTCTGACATTATAGAACCTACACTTAGCTCTGACGTTATAGAACCTACACATAGTTCTGACGTTATAGAACCTACACTTAGTTCTGACGTTATAGAACCTACACTTAGTTCTGACATTATAGAACCTACACTTAGTTCTGACATTATAGAACCTACACTTAGTTCTGACATTATAGAACCTACACTTAGTTCTGACATTATAGAACCTACACTTAGTTCTGACGTTATAAAACCTACACTTAGCTCTGACGTTATAGAACCTACACATAGTTCTGACGTTATAGAACTTACACTTAGCTCTGACGTTATAGAACCTTCACTTAGTTCTGACATAATAGAACCTACACTTACCTCTGACGTTATAGAACCTTCACTTAGCTCTGACGTTATAGAACCTACACATAGTTCTGACGTTATAGAACCTACACTTAGCTCTGACGTTATAGAACCTACACTTAGTCTGACGTTATAGACCTTCACTTAGTTCTGACATAATAGAACCTACACTTAGTTCTGACGTTATAGAACCTACACTAGTTCTGACGTTATAGAACCTACACTTAGTCTGACGTTATAGAACCTACACTTAGTTCTGACGTTATAAAACCTACACTTAGTTCTGACGTTATAGAACCTACACTTAGTTCTGACATTATAGAACCTACACTTAGTTCTGACATTATAGAACCTACACTTAGTTCTGACATTATAGAACCTACACTTAGTTCTGACATTATAGAACCTACACTTAGTTCTGACATTATAGAACCTACACTTAGCTCTGGACGTTATAGAACCTTCACTTTCAGTTCTGACATAATAGAACCTAAGCACTTAGTTCTTGACGTTATAGAACCTACACTTACCTCTGACGAACCTACACTTAGTTCTGACGTTATACCTACACTTAGTTCTGACGTTATAGAACCTACACTTAGTTCTGACATTATAGAACCTACACTTAGTTCTGACGTTATAAAACCTACACTTAGTTCTGACGTTATAGAACCTACACTTAGTTCTGACATTATAGAACCTACACTTAGTTCTGACATTATAGAACCTACACTTAGTTCTGACGTTATAGAACCTACACTTACCTCTGACGTTATAGAACCTACACTTAGTTCTGACATTATAGAACCTACACTTAGTTCTGACGTTATAGAACCTACACTTAGCTCTGACGTTATAGAACCTACACTTAGTTCTGACGTTATAGAACTTACACTTAGCTCTGACGTTATAGAACCTACACTTAGTTCTGACTTTCTTGGTGCTTTACGTTGCATTGAACTCGACATCAAAGAGAAAGAAGAAGACAATGATCAGTACAATATATTAAGTGCTATTCTACTCCTCCGAATGACCTTCCCATTAACACACCCAGACCCTGAACACCCTAGTTAGCGCCTCCAGGAACGAGTCTCTCTCTCTCTCTCTCTCTCTCTCTATGTGTGTGTGTGTGTGTGTGTGTGTGTGTGTGCGCGCGTTGGGGAGTTCTCATTTCCTGACACCCTTCCTCCCCCCCTTTTCTCACACTCTCCCACCTTCTCTCAATCTAAACCCCCCTCCCCCTCCTCTCTCTCCCTCATCAACCCCCTATTCTTCTCATTCTTCCCACTTCTCGAAGTTCTGGAGAAAGTTATGAGATGTGAGAAAGAGAGCAACAGATACAAACACAGAGAAAAGAACACAAATATTAAAAAAAGAAGAAAGTTCTTGCGCTATGTGGTGAAAGTTATGAAGGAGAAAAAGAACAGAGGACATACACAGAAAGAGAGGCATAAAATATACGAAGAAAGCAATGGAAAGAGAAAGTTACTGCAGCGCTAGAAAAAGTTATGGGGTGTAAGAATGGGAAAGAAAGAGATGGAAAGAGCAAGAGAAGGACTAAACATTGAAAAAAGTTTATATTAAAGAGCAGAGAGAGAGAGAGAGAGAGAGAGAGAGAGAGAGAGAGATTGTGTTCGGGCTATTTTGGAGAAAGTTATGAGGGTGAACATGAGAGACAGAGAGGGAGAAAAAACAGCACACAGAAAATAAAGGGAAAACGTCGATATAGATACAAATAAAAAAAATAAGAAAGTGGCGAAATAAAAGAAAGTTCTTGCAGCTGTGGAGAAAGTTATGAGATGTGAGAGAGAGTATGTGAGGAGGGTGGCATCGTGTAAGAGCTCTCTCTCTCTCCAAAGAAAGACTAAAAGATCATGAAAAATTAGGATAATATTTAATTACAGTATTGCGAGGATATTTCGAGAGTATGGCGAGAGACAATATTATGGTGCAGCCATTTAGAAGAATATGGTGTGATTATTTAGAAGAAAATATGATGTAGACATTTACAAGAAGAAAAGATAATATTTAAATAAAAACAAAAGTATCAAATAATAATAATATTATTATTATAATAATAATAATATTATTATTATAATAATAATAATAATAATAACAATAATAATAATAATAATAATAATAATAATAATAATAATAATAATAATAATAATAAAGCCATTTATACTTTCAACATGGCTTCATAAAAATATTCTTCGTTGTTCCAGTAATACTTTTTGTTTTGGCTTCTGTCAATAAATAATATCAGGCCATAGTGTTATAAAAATATAGAATATAATCCGCATGATGTGAATTCAATGACTCGTTTGTAAGAAATAAATAGTATTTTTTTTATCATATCCACGGGCATTAGAGGATGGAAATTCTGCTATACGTATATTTTTTAATATCTGTCTACCGGAAAACAGGGGATTATCAAAAATAAATTCTCCTGTGTGGAAGGCAGGATCGAAACCTTATTTTGATTCCTCCTCTATGAAACAAATGCTGATAGTTTTTATTGTATCATAAATGAAGATTCTAAACCCATTTATTTCAGTCGCGAAAATAAATCACATGACGTCGTTTGTATCAGTTAAAGAAGGTAACTTGTGGGGAAAACTGATGATCTTAATGACACACGTGAACTCTGTTAATCTTCCCACACGATAATTAATATTTTTTGACTTACAAGACAATGTAAATCGATAAATACACCTTAAACAATTAAATGAATTACCGTTACAACTTTCAACAGGAAGCAGAGTAAGTATAATGAAGGAAAAACTATCTCTAGTATTTATAACTCAAATTATGCTACACCTTAATTGAGTTCGTATTTCCATAGGCCAGCCGTATACTGTACCCGAGCCAAGTCCCGTCACACGCTGGGTGATGATGTCATATTTTAAAGTTGTGACCTTCAACCTTGATATTTCCTCTGTACAAACATAGCAGCTCTATTGGGGGTTGTCATGATGAAAACATACTGTATATACCAAGAGGGAACATAAAAGCTCTTTACTCCGTCGAGTTAAGCTGAGGCCAGAATTATGAACGTGCCGAGTGGTGACCTTAACCTCTGACCTTTTGTGACCCTGAAAATAAACCAGGTCTGAGAACAATAGCGTTTCATTATACTGTATGTTTACCAAATACGAATATTATGGCTCTCCTGGTTAATAGATTACCTACACACACACACGTACTACAGCTCTCCCTGTATACATCCACACATAAACACACACAGTACAAACTGTAGCTCTCCTCATTCTTATATTTTTACATACATGTACATAGTCTAGTCATAAATAGCTTTACCCGTACAGATGGCATGACCACTGCTGACCACCTTACTCACGTGACCCAGCCGGTGTGAGTAATAATGTTAAGTAAACAGTAACTCCATGTTGTTGGGTTTTTACCTGTATCATCACTTCTCACTTGCTGGCTAACTTATAGTGGAACCTTCCTTCTACTTAAGAGTAAATTTTCGTCTTTTTAAGTTGCTCTAAATGCGCAATAAAATACATTACGGTGTTTGAGAGAGAGAGAGAGAGAGAGAGAGAGAGAGAGG